TTTGCATACATGTGCACACACACACTGCACACACACCCCCACACACACACTGCACACACACTGCACACACACACCCCCACACACACACAGCGAGCTCTCCAGCCACAGATACACTCAGGCATGCACAAAAGCGGACAGCAAATTAAAGTGGTAATTACTTTTAAGCCCAGAAAGGTGAAGGATTGTATGGCGGGGAGCAATGGGTCACTGTTGAATAGAGAATAGCGGAGCAGGCAGACAGTGTGAAAGGCAGATATGCATCTCAATGAAATATGGAGGAGCATACTCAACAAAAGGCGAAATGGCTTCTTAACGGCCACATGCCCTCAAAGAATTATTGTCTGATAGATTTGGAATATTATCTACTCTATAGCTGTTATCTTTAAACACCCTTTTATACTCATCATTTGTGTGAGCTGCCGAGGGGACGGTGAAAAAACCGCTGTGTTCTGCCATGCTACATTTTTATAGTCTTACATACTACACTGACAGCTAGAGTATTATGTTAAGCATTTCATTTTCGACTAACAGATGTCAGGTAAAAACAAGTCATTTGAATTGTTTAATTTCAACGACATCAATAGGGTAAACATGATGGATAATAGCTATTATCGTGGTTACAATCCCCTCTGATTTAAGGGTATTTTAGCAGGCTATCCTTGCTTTTACTTCCTGGTATAGGTCCAACTGAATCCTAAATCTTTATATGATACGACTTGTTGATGTCTTGTCGAGCAAGCTCCTCCTAAGAATGCTAAACTGAGTTTGAGCCAAATTGGCTGACTACATCTCCATTTGGCCTCTGGGAAAATTAAGCAATTACTCTGTGGCTTTCAAGGTCAAATAATCTCTTAACTATTCTAGAGTTTGAATAATATTGTGGAAAATTTTCCCATTTAAACTTGATGATAAGAAAACATGACGTGAGTACCCAGGTGATAAATCATTTCCCTCAGCATTCATTTTATTTTCAGTGTTATCCAAAGAAACATTATACAAAAGACAAAGGCTATATATTAATTCATTGTTTGTTGACTTTTCTTTTTCTTTGGGTCTTATGCATTGTTTAGTTTACTGTATGTTCAAATCAAATACCAATATATGTTAATCTGTGATTTAGCTTTGTCTCTTTTGGGAAGTATTTCAGCCGAGCAACTTCATTTTCATTCACTGCACAAACACATTGTGTGTAAGCGTTAAAGAGTGTGCCAGTTGTTACCGTGTTTACTTCCCTCTGACACAGAAAGCAGTCTGTGGTAGTTCAGACGACACAGTAAATCTGATCGATCCTTAACATCAAACTTCTATATCTTATTACAGCTCTCAGTGTTTGTTTCAGAAAATGCTAATCATTTACTGTATGAACAATGAAAAAAGCTTTGCATGTATGTGACATAGAAAATCTTAATGCCAATTTATAGCGTCTATTTAAATCTCATGGTATAATGATCTTGCCAGCGTGGGTGTCAGTTAAGACTGTTTTGTTAAACTGCTACTTTCAATACAAACAATGAACATTTATGCTTGATTTTTATTAATTCTTTCAAGCTCATTTACATTTTGAGCCTTCAGTCAGAGATAAACCACAGTATAACTTCCGGATATCTGTTTAATCTAGTTTATACTTCTTTTCCACTACATGTTGTAAGGATATATAGTAGTTTTTACTCTTCTACACATCCTATACATAATTCATATAATTGACAATTATTGGGCACTTTACAGTTTATATTACACATATAAAACAAGTTATTATCTTCGAATATACGATGATTGTTATGTATGGAATTACCTAACAGTATTTACAGCAGTGGAAATTAGCTATAGCTCATTCAACAACAAATACATTATTAATAATTCGAAAAAGGCTCACTTTACTTTTTAAGTGTATTTAGCTAGTACTAATTATATGCTTTTACCTGAATAAGATTTTAAAAGGTGCACTTTAGTGTAAATTTGTATTGATCCTGAAAAAAAGAGAATCCGAGTGTTTCTTGTATCGCTGTTCTCTTTGAACTGTGTTTTTGAAAAGGCAGTTTTTCTGTCACTATCAAACTGACTACAGCCGATAGCATGTGTAGACAGGCGGAGAAACAAGGCCAGACATGGGTGTGTCTCGCTGACTGAAACAGCCGTTACACGCTACTCCACATGTACACACACAAACACACTGACTAAGGATTTTTACTTATTCACCCATCAATTCAATTACATTTCTCATCTATCAGGCCAGGTAACTTCTCCAGCCCGAGGTAGTAGTTTTTTTGTTACTTCCAAGAGCACCCTGAATTGTGAAGGGAACACCTGTAATACTACTCCGCGAGGCAAGCCTCCGGTAAACTAAGTCTGTGAGGGCTCAAACACACACTATATGACAGACACACACACACACACACACACACACACACACACACACACACACACACACACACACACACACACACACACACACACACACACACAGTCAGATATTCCCTGCAAGTCTCCTTCAAGGACGCCTGGGGAAGACTTGGAGGACAAAATCACACACTCCCTCTCCCAGTGTCTCAGACGTGCTGCACTTCTAATGCAGACAGAAAGCCTCTTCCAAAGAGACTAGGCACACACCAACTCTCTCCCACGCAGACACACTCTCACACTTTAAAACAAAAATACCCTGAAAAACCCTTCCACCTTCCCATCCATGTGAGGAAAGCACGACAATTTCTGTCTGTGTTTTTTCTCTTGTTGTTGCTCCCTCCTGCTCTCAGCTGTTTCAATCTGTTGAGTGTGTGTGTGTGTGTGCGTGTGTGTGTGAAGTGTAGGGGGCTCACTGGGACTCTTTGACGACCTCATTCACTCCCTTCTTCTCCCCCCTGGCCGCACCATGGCCGACATGCCCAACAATGAGGCGGGAGGGTGGGAGTCGGACAAAAACACTGAATGCGTCTTCATTTGCCTGAACTTTTCACACGTCTTTTTCCTTTTGTTGCCGGCCGCCCCTTCACTACAGTGCAGCGAGCCGCTCCGCCAGTTTCCGCTGGCAATAGAATTTAGCGGTGATGAAGACGGTTCCGTTTTTTCTTTTTCTTCTTTTCAATATTGGTGACGAGTGAAACAAGCAAGGTCAGTGACGTAGCCTAATTTACATTTCCTGGAGTTTGTCTGAATTATTTGCATTGACAAATTTAGTCTTATTGTGGTTCTATTTCTTTCTTTTTGTGGAAAAGGGATTCGTGGGACCGTCTCTTACCAAGTGAGATTTTTGCGAAACCTCAAAAAAAAATATGATCACCACACAAAACAAACATTGTGAAAGAGCTATACGTGCATCCACGGGGTTTTTTCCGTTCCCTTCTGCTGACTCGATCAATGTTACATTTGTTACGACCTTAAGTTTTAAGGAAGTTCTTACTTTATGTAAAATGTTGTGTTGACAGTCTTGAACGCAAGTCCTATGTTTACACATAGTGAATGACATACTAACAAACATTTCTTTTGAGGCGTCCCCTGGCGAAATTCCGAATTCAGAGAATCAAACCAATTTTTCCCGAGACTCTGCTAAATAGATTTGTACGAAGACCCTTAACCCAGGATCGATTAAACTATAACAGGTTTCCAAAGAGGTGTAGTTTTCTTTGGTATTTTGGAATGGGTTGACGAACAACGTTTGTATAGATTTTGTAATTCCTTTATAATACTATACATTATCTACTCGACCGGCAGAAAGCTAAAATTCCCTTTTTGTAACCTATTACTCTACTCCGACAGCCTCCGTTTTAGAAGACCCACGACGGGAATGAATTCTTAATTTTTTACAAACCGGAGAGATCACCTATACCCACCCTCACAGTTTACTTACCAGATTAATTTGTACCCTAGACGATTATCTACAAACTTAAGGACGACGCATGGTAGAGGTCTCTTCAGCATATTTCAGACATACATGACATACATGTTGGACACAGTTGTAACGAGTGTGGGTGTCTGTAATGAGTGTACTCTCGCATATGCACCTCGTTTATTAGTGTGAGTCCTCTGAGGTGAGTTCATGAGAGGAGGGTGGGTTAGAGGGAGGGAGGAAGGGGGAGAGGAGACAAGCAAGAGGGGAACGGGCGAGTTGTGATGAGTCTTATAACTATGGTAGTGGGGAGGAGGAAAAAGAGAAGAGAGAGAGAGCGGAGAGGCAGAGAGAGGAGGTAGTGAGTGAATAGAATGACCTATGGCACTATCCGACAGATGAGGCACCAGACTCAAAAGTTTAGAGCAGGAGGATGAAGAGGGAGGTAGCGACGCGGATGATGTTTTTTTGTAGTATGTATTTTCTCCTTGCCGTCTTCAATTGAACGTCACTCCATCTGTAATTTAAGTGAATTCGTGGTAAAGTCTAATACAGTTCGATTTTTACCCGGAATTGTAACACTTCCTCCCTCCCCCCTCTCTCACCCACCGCTCCCCCCTCAGCGACAACCA